CTTTCTTTTTTTTTTTTTTGGCTTCTTTTGTAACTAGTTACCGTACTAAATTACTACTAGTAAATTATTGGACCACTCACATTAATTAACTTCTAATTTTTCTACTTTTTCTTTCCGTGTCTATCAACTGTGCATGCCATCCCGTCATTGCACTCACACACACACACACACAGCTTGACAGTACGCTCACACACTCATCAAGGGAGTTGTGGTGCAGTGGTGAGCCAGAAAAACTGCCATCTTTACCTGGTCCCCGTTTACACTCCCAAAACATCATTATTACCCGTCACCTTCCCGTCACTAACACCAACAGTGTCACCAATTCATCCTTCTTTCTACTTATAAATTGCCGGCAGTCAATTCGTGGGATTCTCCAATTCTACTGCCTCAACAGACTTCTTGACAAAAAACAGACTTCTTGACTGCTGACCTCTGAAATATACATACATACAGGGGGGGGGGGGCACTCGGCAGGTGATGTTATGGCGGAAGCCACAGAATCTGCAATGACAGAGACCAAGAAGGTGATCAATCCCAGAGTTGAAATCGATACTTCACCGCCCTTTGAGTCGGTTAAGGAGGCTGTAGACCGTTTTGGAGGGGGTGGTCCTTGGTTGCCCCATCACTTGCTTGGTTTGGCTGCTCACCATGTAAGTAAAATTTTCTACTTCCGCTCTATTTGGTTTCGCAAGTTGCCGCTCGAAGATGGTGCTACCGTTGGGACTCATTTTTGCTGCAATGAATGTCATTGGTGATTCTGAATCTCGTACAGTCGATTGTTGCAATGGGTAGCACCGTCAAAAATCTTAATGTTTCCTTCTTTCATAACTAGGAGGGGGACCGGAAGTTACATTTTGTTTACTCGGCGAGGTATTGAAGGAATTAATTTTCTGTAACTCTGTGACAGTTTACATGATCTTCTTCAATATTGAACGATGTTTGCATCAAATGAGCACGAAACACTACTACTGTTAACTTCTGATTTAGCTGATGATTTCACCTAGTCATAGGCCAATTTACTTAACTTTGCTACTCGTCCCTAGGTTTCAGTTGGATGCCTTCACCTTACAATTCTCTGTTTGGGCTTATATTTTATTTCCTGTTGCAGCAATATGCCTGTCTTCCTTCCACAACTAGTAGCAGTAGCTAATTCTTTGCACTAAGATCCCACTTCTGTTATTCACGCTCTTTTTTCCTTCTTTTTGGAAACAACTCCGTATTTAAACACTCCTCCTGCTCCCAGGGAGCATCAGACTCTATTCTACACTCGTTTCTAGAAAGTCACACGCTAAACAGTCTTCAACTAAAGAAACTGTGGTGGGCTTAAGATAAACACGATAATATGCCCCATGATCATTATGGAACTTGCAAAAAGCAAATGAATTCAAGACTCTGGATTACATTTTGTCGATTTAATTGTGACATAAACACAGACTTTCCACCCTGACTTGCCAGAATTACTTGATAACTAAGTCACATTTCCACAATTGAAAGTGTTTCTGACATCTTTACTTTGTTATGTATGACAAATGATTGTTTTTTGTTTGTATTTTATCTTGTTTTTGAACATTTAGCAGCATGGCACCGAGGTCTTTGACATTGATAAAGTGGAGGAGCAAGCTGCACAATTGGAGAGGGACCTCATCATGAAAGAGCAGGAAACGCTTAATGTATTGAAGGAAGTGGAAGCTACAAAAAGATTTGTTGAAGGCCTAAAGTTGAACTTAATTCAAGAAATGACTGCTTTCATGGAAAGTCCCGATTTGAAGCCAGAAAGCCAGGATTCAGCTGGGAGATTAAACTTGTGTCCTGTTGTCTCACCTGGTTTAATCTCAATGGAATTGAACCAAGCTAAGATGAACCTCTGTAAGACAACCACAAATCTTGCGGTGATTCGAGCTTCTGTTGAGACTCTGAATAATAAAATGAAGGGAGAAAATGTTTTGCTTGAAAAGAACAGTGATAGGAAAATCCCAAATTCTTCTAAATTACTCTCAGCTCAGGAGGATTGTGATAGATGCAGAGTAATGCCAGATGAAGACCGAAATTTGCTAACTCCCAAGAACCCCGAAACCTCAATAGACATCTTGAGGGATGTCAAAGAAGTAAATTTTGAGGCTGAGCAATTCAAGAAAATGACAGAGGCTTCCAGATATGAGGTTATGAAGGCAATGTCCGAAATTGAACGAACAAAGACCAGCATCAAGATGGCTGAAATGAGGTTAACAGCTGCCAGAAAAATGGAAGAAGCAGCTAAGGCTGTGGAGGCTATTGCTCTTGCCGAAAGGAGTGCTCTATTAGATGGCAACAATTCACCAGATATATTCTTGCATAAGCCTGGTGGAATAACTCTGTCCATTGAGGAGTACAACTCCCTTACTCACAAGGCCCAACAAGCTGAAGAGCTGTGTAAGACCAAGTTTGTAGATATGAATACCTTGCGCCAGACTGATTGCGCAAATCAATCAGAAGTAACCATCTTGAAGAAGCTAGAAACAACAAAACAAGAAACTAGACGCTGTAAAAAATCCCTTGAAGAGGCTTTGGGCAGTGAAGACGGTTGTGATAGGAAAAGGTTGGGATTTGACGACTACGGTGGTAAGGGTGCTTCCGAAGTGGATCAAATGGGATACTCGGGGCATAATTCTGCAAAATACAGGTTTAGAAACTCCCGTCCAGCTTCTGCCCAGAGAGGGTCTGAGGCACTGAATGAAAATGAACCAAATGTAGTTAAAGACAAAGTTTATAGGTCTACCATTTCCATTGGCGATATACTAAGCAGGAAGTTGATTCTGCAAGATGATATTGTAGTGGGAAATCATGTTGACAGCCACGCTGAAAGGCAAGAGGTGTCTTTGAGCCAAATGCTTCGTGAACAAAGCGGACTTCTGTTGCACCCTACAAAATCTATGAAGGATGGGACTCTGGACAAGCAATTCTATACTCAGAGGAAGAAATTTGGATTTATTCATGTAAGTATTCCCAGGCACAGCAAGAAAAAAGCACAGGTCTAATGATTATATCTTGGTTTATAGAGGAATTGCTTTATTCCCCATGCTAATAACTTGCCCCCTTTCTCAGTTCCCAGATAATTTGTTGCGTGTTAGGCTTGCTTAATTTGTGTGGATTTTGAGAGGTTGTCTCCTATAAGTTATTTGCTAAGGTGTTGAGTGTATCTTCTGTATAGAAGTTTTAATGCAATGGTTTATATAGGCCAATTTCGGATGTATACTGCTGATTATCTGTGAATTCATGGTACTTTTCAATTCTATCAGTGTTAAGCTAGTAAACTGCTCATATCAGCTTATGATATGTATGGGGATGCTGGTGTTCCTGCGCATTTCAGAATTGGAGAGCCACTGTCGTTCTGCCTTCTGGCGGGGGACTTTCTAGATAGGAAGGATGCCAACCTCTTTAATCACCACTTTAAATCTAGACAAATGATATTTGTGCTCTAATAAAAGCTTCTGGCATTCCAAGCATTGGTCTATGTTCTTGAGCTTCGAAAATACCCTGTATCATCTATTGTTACTCATGGCATTTCATCTACCTCCTTGTTCATCATGTCCCCAACTCATGCTTGTTGCTCCTCTAAATCAAAATCATCTTCTTTTTTTTTCAATCAACTCAACATAGTTTTCTACATCAATCATTTTCTTATTCATTATGACTTCATAATGTCGTTGAAAATCTAAATCAATCACTGCCTGAGATGTATCCAACTATGATAAAGATAACCTCCAATTATAGTAGTACAAACTATAATTCTTGCAAGCAATCATCACCAAACTTAACAAAAAGCAATCTTACGGTATATAGAACATATTCAAATCTTTAATTGGCCATAAATTTCAAAGGAAAAGAACAAAAAAACGCACAATTACCTCCAAATGTTTGTGCCCAAAAAAAGAGAGAGAACGAAAAAGAAAGAAGTGGAGGGTAGTTTCATTCATTAATTAATTTAGCATAGATGGGGTGCCAAAAACCTTTTTTAAGAGTACTAATTAATATTAGTTGACTAAATGAAGTTATTTTCTAATGGTTGTTAATACTTTACTTAATACAGTATATGATTAACATATGAATACACATACAACTCACAATTATTATACACATTTAAACACATTGCTAAGTTAATTTCCCTCTTTCCAAAAGATTAACGTCTCTATCTTAAGGAGTGCCTCAAGCACCCATTCGTCAAACCCCAAATTTAATGATCCCAAGAAAGCAATCAAAAGGGGTGCGCGGTCAAAGTCCAAGATTTAATGTGACCATCCCCACCTTTCCAAAATAGGCTCACAAAGGCCCAATTATCAAATCACTTGTCATTTATGGCCTGTGGGCTACTACAGCGGCGTTGATGGCCTATCATTTTGGCCACTGTATCTCACAGTTATCATGATCAAATATTTGGCCACTGTATTTCATCAAATATTAAGATTGTGTTTGGATTGTATTTTTCGTGATTTTTCATGAAAAAATTACTGTAGCGATTTGATGTATGTGAGAAAAAAAGGTAATAGGAAAATATGATCACGGAAAACGACGCAATTTTTCGACGGAAACCGGCAATCCAAATAAGGCCAAATGTCCAAATATTCTAAAAATATATATATATATCATTCTTCTCTAGTATGTTAATTTAGCGATCAAAAAGAAAAGTAATGATATAATCGGATGGTTTCATAAAATAGTAAAATACAGAGACTAGTAGAGAAGAATCCTAGTGCATGATACATCAGCTCAGCTTTACGTTGCTCACTTGCCCTTTCAGCTTCCTTTGTGCCCCGGAAAGAAATCTTTTACCTTATTTTATGGAGACGGCCGGAGCTGTGCTTCACAACTGCGATGAAGAATTTGTCCCTCCTGCGCCACGTGGCGTGATTATTCTCTTCTCCGCCCAATGCTATGCTGACGAGTGTTTCCTCACGGCTTTCACGTGTCTATTAAGCAATCGTCTGTTAAAAAAAAAAATCCAACTTTTGAGTCACCGCGGGAAAAGGGTAATCTTTTCACTATTATAAAGTGAAAAAAGAACAGCGATTCAATTACGCAATTGCTTCCCGCTCGCGCAAAAAATGAGCCCAAATGTGTAACCCATCATCAAGTCTGGTTGGCCAACACTGTTCACCTGCTTTTTAGATGCAGTAATCGGCATTTATATCCAGAAGTTGTATAAGGTTATTTAAGGAGAGGAGGGCAATCAGAGTCCGGGGATGGTGTACCAGCCAAGAATGAGAAAAAGGGTCAATGCATACCCAATTCGCCGTGGTCCTGATGGAAGTGCTTTCCAGAAATGGTCCTTTTCTCCTCCTGTATCTTTTGTCTTCTAACTTTGTTCTTTTTTTTTTCTTTACGAAAAAAAAATCGAAATCATAAATCTTTATGTGAAAGTGTATGGTTTTGAGGTATATTGCGGTGAAAGGTGTGGTCGTTCTGTAGCAATTGCTTTGGCTGATATGCATGAGTGTGAGTCAAATAATAGCCTGAAGAAACTGAAAGGGCAGCGGCAGAGCGGAAATGTTAAATCGCAGAACATTGAAGATCAACCCAGATCAGCATTCCGCTTTTTCATGTACTACATTGCACATTACATTGCTTCATATATTGGGTCTGATTCTTGAGCACATTTCCTTTTTTTTTTTTTGGGAATGCTTGCATTATTATTGTTTATTGCAATTTAACCCTTTTTCTCTTTTTCCCTTTTTCCTGTTGAGTAGCTCTAGTTTGTAATTTTTGTTCTCTAGGAGGCAAAGCGAGAATAAAACACTAGACTATGGATTCTTAAATTTTAGTCATTGGAAGGGTGTCGGACAGTTACGGAGCATGTGCAATTCAATAGTCTGCGTAAAGATGCAAACTGCCAATTATATTCCATTTTTTTTTTTAATTCTTGGTTGATGCTTTTACCCGAGTAGGTAGCTATTTATATTCATCGCCCCCCTTTCAGCTATGAAGCAAGACTGCAAGAGTAGAATTAGACAGGACAAAATAAGTTTACAAATTGATTGATTTTTCAGGGAAGAATTGTTGGACATTCACAAGGAGGAAAATGAGATTGCAATTGATAGCAAGGGCTTTGAGATGTGGAAGAAAATGTCTAAACAGGTAAATACGGTATGCTTCACTAATATGGAAGGAGGTTTAATATCACAGGCGGAATAAGCTTCGGCCTTCTCTTTGCTTATTGCTATTTACTCTGTCTGTTCATTTGTTGGTGTTCTTAGGAGAGGCAACCATATCTCGTGAAAGCGGAAAAGGTGAACTCGGCTCACACAAAAGCTCTGCTCGAAGAGGAAAATGATATGTCATGGGTGAAGTGACCAAATCTTGGTTTATGATTTTTTTTTGGGCATTATTTAATTCTTTAAACATGTATTCACGGTTCAACCAAAAAAAAAGAGATCTCTAAAACCACTACTGATTTTTGTGAGTACTTCTCGATACAGTTAGCAAGGGTGACCAGTTCTTTTTGGGTCTTAATATGCCAATTCTTTTCGATTCTGTTAGATTTTCATAAACATCTGTGTAGCAGTTGTATCGTATGTAGTAATGTGGCAGTTCACAAGACGCTGAATGAATAGCAAGAAACAAGTGATATTTATATCCTGACACATGTTTTTGCACCAGTCAGCAAAAATCTTGTACTCCTACTAAAGTTGCTTGTAAGCCTATGTATGTTGGTGCTGCTTTTAACTCCAGGAATTCCTTAGAAAACTGAAAAATGTATTGACAGTAATTGGTCCTAGCATTTCCGCCAAATTATGTGCAAGTCAAATCAAAATGATCTTACACAGGAGGTTACGTTTCACGTCTTGTATTATGGTGGTCATATCTGGTTTAGCTTCTTATGTTAAAATCAAAAGAAAATACCTTGCCTCTCCTCACTCCAAGATAAGAGCTTTATCTAATTTTGGGGTCCTCGTATTGTTTATCTGTAGGTGGATGATGAAGCGGACTCAGCAGAAGTGGGGAAGTACGACGAGGTGTGTCTGTTTCATCTAATCCTTGTGCCTGTTTTTTATCAGAAATATAATTAACCTTGGTGGATCCTCGGATTTCCGACTGTACTTCAACCAGATTACACCTTTCCTGTTTGTCCTCCTCAGGGAGATAGGAAGAGATAAAAGATTTTACCTATCTTCGTGTTTCTGTGGTTTTCTAACTTAATAGCTGTATTCCAAATAATCCTATTTGGTCACAGAACTATGCAGAAGATGGATACTTTGATGGTTTTGAAGACGATATCTGTGATGATCCCCACGATTCAGATAGCTTTCTTTTCTGGTCTGAGATCAGCGACAGCTTTGACAGCAAAAATTGGTATACTTTCTACTCTTTTTTGCCTCTATTATATTATAGGTGCTTCTGTTTCTGCAGCATCAAGAGTCAAGAGATGGGCACTTTTTTAACTGGTTCATCTGATGAAACAGGGCAAAGAAGTGGTCCCCGAATCCGCTGAGGACTTGAATTCCATTTTTGGATCGGTTGCATGGTTTTGTTGACGATGTTTGGAGTCTTGACTTGAATGACTGAGAAAAAAACAACCTTCGGGCAGTGGCAGACATTGGAAAATTGGGCCATTGCTTACATAAAGCGAGGCAAGTCACTTTGGCTATTGTACATACTAAGTTTAGGAATTTTACTACGCCCAAAAGATGTAAAAAAGCAACCGTGATTATTTATATTTGTGATCTGATGATTGTCCTAAGAGGAGATGAGGAGTGGAGCCCCTTTCGGCCTTTGGATTGGGAGAACATATATTTGATCACTGGGGCGTTTTGTCCTCCACTTGAAGGCTGCGTTTTGTCTTCCACTATGACTGGTTTTATTTATTTATTTATTTTGTGGCCATTATGTTTGTATATACAGTACGTCTTCCTCCGTTTGGATATCTTCCTACGTATCCATTATGTTTGGATGAACCTTGCACTTGACTTGGAAGTAGAACAACAAAAGAAATATTTGCAGAAAGGTTGCCCGTATGGTATGATCACAAAGAAGATAATAACAAATGATACTTCTTTGACTTCCGAATTATAAATGAAATTAGAACTTTGATTTGATGATCAAATTGTGACATAGCTAGTGAGGGGAAAAATTACTATGGATAAAATGTACCACTTGCTAACTAACTTGGTGAAACAAATGAAAATTTGCTCCATTGCTAACTCATGGATAAAAGCCCACATCCGCTTCGACTTCAAAAGGCCCAAGTCAACGTTCTTTGAAACCGAACAATAATAAAGGCCCAAGATGTTCTACAACATCTCTTCTCTGGAAGAGATTACAAGGCTGATAGTGTTGAAAGCCGCCCCGGCCTCGTGTCCTGGATTCATATTCCGGACCCCCCGAGGCTTCTACTCACCATTCTTTTCTGGTGAGTGGTTGAATTGAACATGGAAAATGCTCTGAGCTGCACCAGCTCCTCCTCCGCGCCTATTCTCCACCACCCTCTCTCTTCGGCGTCGTTCACTCCTCAGTTTTCTTCACAGCTCCGACTATCGGTTCGTCTCTCTTTCGCCTTATTGCTTTTATTTCTGTATTAATTCGATGATTAGCAAGCATATCACCATTTGTTCTTTTAAAATAAATTTCCTAAATTAACAGAGACTTAAACGTTCAAACTCAGTAGGCCAGCATCGGAATCGTTCCCTGGTCATAAGCAAGGCTTGTGGGCCCCAAGGAAATGGGTTCCCAATTATCCCCACCAGGATTTTCATCGAAGAGGTACTTTCGGTTTTCCGCTCCTTTATTTTGTTTTCTTTCTTCATTGATTACGCACAGGTAGTAATTTAACTGTCTTTCTTTGAAAGATTTACTAAAAAGATAAGTTCTATGACTCTGGCTCTCTTTTTCTTCCTGAAGATAATCTTTGTTTAGCTGTAGTGATGACGTAGAAGTTGGGTCTGATTTTCGTTCCTTGGACTAAGTTTGTGTCTTGGAAGAGCAATATTAATCAAGTTCGTTTTTGTTCTGTCATTTGTTTTCTTTTTGTCCTTTTCTTCTCTTGGGAAGGCAATTGGAGCTGAATATGGAGAGGGATTTGAGACTTTTAGACCAGATGGGCCCCTCAAAATCGATGTGGTAAGCTACAGAAAGCGCTACTTGGATTAGATGCACTCTTTGTCGATTTGGCTTTGTTTGGATTGTGTATGCGCCGCTCCTGCTGCAATGGCACCGTCTTTATCACTTACAACTTACGACTAACGTCTTTGCTTTGTCCAGGATTTCTTGAATGATAGGCTACAAGAAGGTTTTCTTCAGAGAATTCGTTATGCCATGAAACCTGATGAAGCATATGGCCTTGTCTTCTCTTGGGACAATGTGGTGGTACAGTTTCAACCTCACCACCATCTCTTTTTATTCGAGAATTTTTGTTTATTAACAAGATGTTCATTTGGATGGACTTCAGGCTGATACTCGAGGTTTGAAGTTAAATGCCTGGAAAAAACTTGCCGCGGAGGAAGGTGAATTTGCTTTTTCTTGCAATGGCTTCATGACTTGTGGAGCAGAATTTTAGCTTTACCTTGGTTTTGTTGCAAAGCAACGGAAGAAATTTTATCTTGTTTACAGAAGTTACAAGAGCCTTTTGACGTATAATTGTCCATGTGTATTTAATATAAGGATAACAAGATTTGGTTATCCTTCTTCTTTCCCACAGCTAAAATCCATATCCTGTTCTTTTTTTTTTTTTTTTTGGAGTAAAAGTTTGCTAATTTATGGAATCAAGATGATATTTTATCTGCTATTATTATTCTGGAAAGGAATGAAAGTATTGGTCATGTGTGTGCATGTGGTTAAAGCTACATCCAGTAATCAAGCAAGTAGTTGGCTAAAGTCCCCTTTCCCCCCTTAGTAGCAATCTTCGCATTGATGATCAAATCCTGAAAGTTCTGATTATGTGGTCCCGTAGAACTTTTAAGTACATTTGGTATTCTCCTAACTTTTAGGAACTTGGTGAAGCTTCTTCTCTTATTTTAAATTGTCTGTTCAGCCTCTTAAATCATTGCTGTGCACACAATTTTCCCATGATTACTTTCTTGTTCAATTGTTTGTCTTTAGTTTCCTGCTTGGAGATGAAAGTTCCTATAGACTTTTAAACAACAACATAATTTATTCTTTTGTCCTTTACGACTTCATAAGTGCATTTTTATGTGGCTTTTGTGCAGGAAAGGAGTTTCCTGAAGACGATGAAATACAAAGACTCATGCTGTACGCTGGTGCTGAACATGTTTTACATAAGGTTTCAAATTCTGGCTTCCTTAGTGCTGAACAAATGGACAATGAATCCCAAACTTTCTCTGTCACATTTGATGATTATTTCTTTTCAGAATGTACTATTATTTGCTTATTGGTAGTAGTAGCTTGTGAGCCTTGGTTTTCACCAGTATGATTTGTTTTAGTTCTTCATATCATTCTGTTATGTACAAAGAATAAGGTATTAATATCCAGTGGCATCTATTGTCAAGCACAAGCACTTCTATGTATTATTCCTCCTATTAACATTCATTTTTTCCTGTCTGGATAGTCTTATGCTTCTCATTTTTAGGGTGGGGATATTCTTCTTCTGTTTGTTTGGAGTCCTGAATAGTCAAGTTTCATTGCTTACTGTCTGATTCATAATATCTTCTGCAAAATTGAAGGTTTTGCTCTGGGAGAAGGCAGAGAATGATATGGACAGATTAAAACTGAGACTTTCGCAGTTATATTATGACAATCTTCTCAAGGTCCACACCTTTCAGCACCATTCTTTTTTCTGTTACAAATGTAACATATCAGTATCATTAATATTCTCTAGTTTATCTGCTCAATCATCAGCTTTCAAAACCAGTCGAAGGACTAAAAGATTGGTTAGATGCAGTGTCAACTGCACGCATCCCTTGTGCTGTCGTCTCAAGTCTTGATCGGAGAAGTATGATTGAGGCGTTGGAAAGGATGGGTCTTATAAAGTATTTTCAGGTTGCATGTTATTTTATTTCATCAAGATAAATATATAGGCTTTGCCTTTTGTTATGACAACCATAGTATAGTAATGTGTCTTGTAACAAGTCTTATCTCGTAAATATTATTTAATGAAGTGTTGATTTTGCATTTATGTCTGGTGAACTTTGTTTATCTCTTAGTCCACACACTTGCCTTGTTTTTTACTATGTGCTCACTGGTAGTGGGACCTTCACTAATCCCAAAGGTAACATACATTCAGTCTGATTGCACGTGTACTAAATGACATATTTATTGCATGTACTTGCCTGAAACCTCTCTTACAGAACCAGTTTAAATCTCTAACAGTGATAGGTTGAAAGAGCAAGCCTGATGCTCTTGGATATCTATAAAATGAATCTAATGCGATCATCTTTTTCTCTCCGTGCCTGTTTGTCTCTCTCCTTTATGTTTTTTGCACTTTGTCTGAATTCATGACCTATCTGGTGCAGGCAGTTGTGGCCGAGGAGGATGGTATGGAGTCCATAGCGCACAGGTTTCTTTCTGCTGCAGTGAAGGTATAAGATGGTGGAAATGAAAAAGCTAGAATTTTTGTTTGACACTGGTTTAATTTTCTGGGTGTGCTTATCTGCTTGAGAATATATTGCAGTTGGACAGGAAGCCATCGAAGTGTGTGGTTTTTGAAGATGATCCAAGGGGGATAACTGCTGCTCATAACTGTACAATGATGGCTGTAGCATTAATTGGTGCTCACCCGGCGTAAGTGTTCATGTTGATGATTGTATGTGCCTGTCTTTTATTTCAGAAAGAAAGATGCAGTGAAGTTTCAAGGTCGAGCGAATTGCAATATTCTACTCAGTTTTATCTTTCTTTATGGACTTGGATTTCTTTGCATGTGCATAATCACCATATTGGGATGGTGAAGAGCTTTTCCCGTTCAGTACTTGGATACAAGCAGTTTGGAGTATCAACCTCTCTTGTCTTTGCCATTTTCTCATTGTAGATTTGCTCGTCTTTCGGCTTCTTTTTTAACCCGGCAAAGCTAACTTGATTTTGGTGCCTCAACATTGCAGGTATGAGCTACAGCAGGCTGACCTTGCGGTCGCCAGCTTTACTGAGCTCTCTGTTATCAACCTTCGAAGATTGTTTGCGCATAAAGGTTCCTCTTTCATGGACATGCAGAAGCAAATAATCGAGAAATCTCCTCCTAGAAGGAAGCTTACCATTGACACAATTTTCTAACTTACAGAGGGAATCGTCCTGTTCTCTATTTCCATGCTCGTATCAAAGTGACGCTTATGTCCTGATTCTTTTCCGTCAAAATTTATATACTACTCTCTCTCGAAATTGATAGTGTGATATGTTTCACTTGTACAGAACACATTCATTGTTAAAAATCACCAAAGCAGATTATTTCTTCGTTTCTTCCTTCTTTGTAGAGAAATGAAAACTTCCTTAATGGGCCTGAATTTTCGATGGTGTGGGTGAAAGGGATGAAACTATTTTTTTACCCAATAATAACGAAGAAAGGAATGAATAAACTAGCACAATAAATCCAACTCTTAAAAGGCCATTAATTGTCGAAAGCAGCGCTTACACCTGTGTTCCTTCTTCTTTCTGCAAAAATTCTCGCAACAGGTCAGGTGCCCCATTAGTGCGAGTGCATCAATGCCTGTGGGTTGACCTTCAAGATGCATCAAGAATTCAAGATCAAAGCCAATAGAGGGTACTCGTGGTAATTTATTTTTAAAAACCAGTTTAAATTTTGTTAGGCAATCGTGATCAATTTAACCTATGTTTCGTGAATATTTTCTGCATCCTTGATATCATCAATTTTTTCTCTATAAGTATTGCAATTCGGGGATCAGTGCTGGTAATTTTAAAACTTTTAGTGCTAATTCACCCACTTCTTTTGATGTGTTTATCATTAAAACATTAAAAAAAAAAAATTTTTTTTGATGACCTGTGTGACTGACATGCGGGTGAGATAATTTCGCCTCTTAAATTATTTTTTTGTTAACCCAAAAGCCCATAGAAAAATCAAATTTTTATTAACAGAAAAGGCAACATAGGGGATAACAGTTGAAAGACAAATTGGATGATATGAAATAAGAGAACGTAAACGAGAGTTTTCAAATATAAATCTTTTCACTGATACTAAAAAAAAAATAATGGGTAAACAAGAAAACCAAAAAGTTAAGCCACGAAAGTGGACCCCGCGGACTTGCATTCGGAGATGGGAAGTGGTCTGAAGTCTAAGGAAGATAGATTTCGTCCCCTTATCTGTTTATCCAAGCTCTTTCGTCCGCCCCATGCAATAAAGGTAAATCAAAATCCCATACAAGTTCTTCTCTGGGGGAGACTCAAAAACAGTTTCAGGCCCAATTTTATCTGATTGTTTCTGCTGACAAAATTTTCAATTAGATAGAATAATGTCTTGCATTTACAGCTCGGTTTCTTCTTTCTCAATCCCCTCAAATTCAAACTTCAGTTCCTGGCGTTTGAATTCCAAGCCCAGTCCCAGCATATGCTGCGCCGTTGGAGGTATAATTTGAAGCTAGGAACTTATCAATTTTTTTGCCCTGTACGAGTATAATCTTGATGCACAATCTGAAGCTTTTTAACTGGGGTTTTCACTTGTGACTGCAATTGTCAACGCGTTTCGGATCTTTCTAAAGTTAATTTTAGTGGGGTCCAATTCTGTTCGTGTTTGCTTATGTAATTTTTCCTGGCCATTGGATTCTACCTTTGAAGGATTAGATCTTTGTTGAGGTAGAGAAGCTAATTTTCAATTAGAGCTCAATTGTTTACATGATCCTGTCGTTCGGTGGTTTAAAATATGATGTTAAACCTTAGAAAATTTTGGGACCCCAGTTGAAATTTTTAATTCTGTTGCTCAATGCTCTGAAACATAATTTGAAAACATGGAAGATTCGGAGGCTAAATTCTATTTATGATTATGTTGCACTCATTGTTTTCTGAATTAAGATACCGGCTTATATTTTTATGCAAATTCCTGGATCAGTTGCGTGTTTTCTGTCTGTGCTGTGTAGTTAGGGATTACACCCTTCGGATGATATCATATCAAACTTCATTTTACCATTTGGATGTACAACTCAAAAATTATCTGTTTGGAAAATGTTCAAAGGTATTTAGATGCATTTCACATGGTCAATCACTCTGTAAAGTTAACTATGGGTGAAAAATATACGTAGACATCTCTGGTGCTAGTTTGTGTGCATCTCTTTGGAAACACATGTTTGTGGCATACTGGATGTGCTAGTTGGTGTAGTAAACAGGACATGCAGCCTAAGATGTTTTTGCCATTAATGCAAGGAGAATCCAAGTTCTGGAAATGATTCTCTGAAGAAAAAATTTGGTCAAATCAAATCCAAATAGTACTACTCTCCAGACAGACATTAGGAATTAAGTCTGCCTTTAAGGTCCTATCTTGGGTGATGACTTGACTTGGAATTTCTAAATACGGCGCTACCATTTTCCAGGGACTGTTGCCGAACCAAAAACCGTCAGTGTCACTGAGCCTTTGTTGCTTAATGCTGCTCGAGGAAAAGTAGTGGACAGACCACCGGTTTGGCTGATGAGACAAGCTGGGAGGTACATGAAGGCAGGTTTATATGTCTACTGTTTGGATGATGTTTCTCTTATTCATGTCAATACAATGTCATTTTGTTTATATACCCAAGAGAGTTTGCATGAAGGAAAGTGATTGCAGTCCTGTGGTTTGAGTGTGCCAGGAATTTTACAGCTAAAATTGTTTACATTCAAGTCATTTTCTACACTGTTTCTCTAAGTGTCAGTGTATCATTCAACTGAGGGCTGAGTGGTTTTGCATTTCTTTAATAGAGCTATCAAGCTATATGCGAGAAGTATCCATCTTTCCGTGAAAGATCAGAAAATGTCGACCTTGTGGTGGAAATTTCCCTACAGCCGTGGCAAGTGTTTCGGCCTGATGGGGTATGTATGTGTACATAGCACCTTGTAATTTTTGTGGAGCATATTGCAACTGAAAAATCCTTTTTGTTTACCTACAAAAGCATCATTCTTAGTGCTTGTTTGTGGATGAGTTAGTTTTTCCTTGCAAATCTACATTTACCTTTAGGATGTATGCTGCACTGCTGATTAATGTAACTGCAAATGACAATTTCCTCTCACAAGCTTCTTCTGTTATTGCTCATTATTGCAGGTCATTCTGTTCTCAGACATTCTTACCCCACTTTCTGGCATGAATATCCCATTTGACATAGTAAAAGGAAAAGGCCCAGTCATATTTGATCCTCTGAGCACAGCTGCTGATGTTGAGAAAGTTAGAGAATTCATTCCAGAAGAGTCAGTTCCATATGTTGGTGAAGCTTTAACAATTTTGCGGAAGGAGGTTTGGCTCCACTTCCTTCTGTTGTTTCAATGAGCATTTGAGGCAGGAAATAATTCTGCACATTGGAACTAGTTAATCTTATATGCTCAATTACTTTGACCTTCCTACTGTCTTATATGCTCAATTACTTTGACCTTCCTACTGTATACTATAAGATAATTGTGCAGTTTGAGATATTTCTCAAAACTGAAAACATTGTGTTTCTTTTACATTTGAAAAACTAAGTTGAAACATTGAGATTTGGAAAATCAGATTTTTCTTGGACATTTGTGGTACTTTCCCACGATACTGTTCTCTAGTTTGATACTTTCTTCACTTCAACTGCAATGGATCTGCATCTAAAGAAATGAAACTATCGATTACTATTGTTTTTTACATAGTCAAACACGAGTCTACTTGCATCTTATAAGATCACATTCGCCAAGCATATCCCAGCTCTCCAACATTCCTAATGTAGGATATAGGTTGCTACAGATATCTAATGGAATTAACAATGTGAGGTTAACTTAATTGGTCGCTGACATGTCTTTTCTTTGGTCAGGTTAACAATGAAGCAGCAGTGCTTGGATTTGTTGGAGCCCCTTTCACCCTAGCATCATATGTGGTTGAAGGTGGTTCATCCAAGCACTTTACAAAAATCAAAAGGCTAGCTTTCTCACAGCCCAAGGTAAACTTAGTGTACCCTTCTCTGCGATCATTTCTTGGATTGAAAACATATAAACATCTATTTTACCAAAATTTGTAGATGAAGTTGCGATGTATGTGGATCTATCTAACAGCCCATTTGGTTTGTCTTCCGTACTTTATATTCTGCAGTAAATAGAATATAAAAATCCCTTGAAATACTTTTAGCTCATTTTCACCTACCGCAATAATTTTTAAAGCACAATTAAGAAGGCTCAGAAAGAGGTCTCAGTGATTGTTTGTACTGTTGGAAAACAGCATAGGAAAACATTGACCCTGCATGACATGTCACAAATTGACATTGTAATTAAATCCTTTTTTCCATTTTTTTTTTTTTGGGTTAAATGCAGATTCTTCATGCGCTGCTTCAAAAATTTGCAACCTCTATGGCAAAGTATATTCGGTATCAAGCTGACAAGGGAGCTCAAGCTGTTCAGATCTTTGACTCATGGGCAACAGAGCTGAGTCCGGTTGACTTTGAGGAGTTTAGTCTGCCTTATTTAAGACTGATAGTGGATTCCGTGAAACAAACTCATCCAGAACTTCCATTGATTTTATATGCGAGTGGTTCAGGAGGCTTGCTCGAGAGACTACCTTTGACGGGTGTGGATGTGATCAGCTTGGACTGGACTGTTGATATGGCTGAAGGTCGAAGGCGCTTAGGCCCTGACGTAGCAGTGCAGGGTAATGTGGACCCTGGTGTTCTGTTCGGTTCAAAAGAGTTCATCACCAACCGTATCAACGATACTGTAAGGAAAGCTGGAAAAGGTAAACATATTTTGAATCTTGGACACGGCATAATCGTAGGAACGCCGGAGGAGAACGTTGCTCATTTCTTTGAAGTTGCCAAAGGACTTAGATACTAGATTCCTATGTAGAGATAGTTGATTTTGAACTGACTTGTATTGCTAGCCAAGTTATAGCACCACTAGTCAATTTTTTTGGCAAGTTGCGGCTCAAGGATGTAATAGAGTGGAATGTAAAACAACAACTATCTGCGCCAAAACTTTTGAGAGTCTATCTGTCACCTGCATAGGTCCTGCAGGCTGTAAGATGTAAGCTTACTTATTCCCCGGCGATGAAGAATGTGTGGATACTGACTAGGAACATTTTGCCGTCTTAAATACTACTGGAAACAGGATGATTTTTACTTCGCTAGGTGCCCCAGCCAATGTTTAGTTTTTTACAGGGGATGTGATATCCTGAATAATTATTGAGATAAACACCATTACCATGCAAGTAAACTATTGTGTTTCAACATTGTAAGCGATGAAATCTATCCATCATTAGATTCTTTCTTACTACCATCCGCTTAACTAAATCGATCGATCCCACTTGGCTAGAGTCAAGGCGATGATGCGTATACATATTAAAGAAATAGCAGCATATATAGCTCAGAAACTCATCATCAGTTCAGTTAAATATATTCAGGGCCTCTTCGTTTTCCAAAAAAATAAAAATTTTGGCCACATGGCTCATAAGAATTTAAGGTGTGACAAAATTTGAATCACATGATCAAGCCTATCTAAGTGTTTGCCGTGCCCGCAAATAAAATCTTGAGTCTTTTTTTTATGTTTTTGTCGACACAGGGGTGTCCGGATCAATCTTTACGGGATCCGACTAATCCCCTGCAATCCAAGCCCGGCTCTCCAACTCGACCAAGGCACGATAAGTGCACAGGCGTCCCCATAGCGCAGTTTCAAACCCGGAACCTGAATGTCCCAAGGGAACGCTGCTACCATATGGCTAAACCGGTGGGGGCTTGAGTCTGTATAAGTGTTTATTAGTAAAGAATTGTGCGCACTCCTCTTCCTTGGAGCCATCCGTGTTATTTTTGAGATAAAACAACCTGAAGTTGAAAAATTACTTAAAAGATGTTCTCCAATACTTAAAATGTTTTTTGTGATACAATGCTCTGTTTAGATCCTTTAGTTTTTCAAATGCTATAAAAATTTTTAAAAAAAATTACTCTAAAAAGTAGTTTAATTTTTTTTAATGTTTAAAAAATATTCTAAAATATTTTTTAAAAACTCTACTACTTTTAAATATTTCAAAATATTTTCTAAAAACATATCAAAATATACACTAAAAACTCTGCTTTAGTACAATTTTTCAAAAAAATACTCCCAAAAATAGCTCATCCAAACGGATTGATTGTAACTGGGCTTTTAAAGTTAAATTCGAGATTGTGGTCCCCCAAACCCTAAGCAAATCGTTGTCGGTGGGTCCAGTCCAGTCCACCATGTGTCCCAAACTACAGCTACTGCAAAAAGGTTCAGAAAAGGAATAAACTATTCTTCTTCTGGCTCCTCCTCACAAAAATCACCAAATTACCCCTGACAGGAGATACCCACCCGTCCCGTCCACACAGGTGTCAACTGTTCCAGTTGACGGGTTTACAGGTAGGCAAGCCACCACAACACCATCTCCCACCCTCACCTCACGTCATACCCCTCTAACTATAAGACAGACACCGGATCTCGCCTTAAATTCGGTCCCGCGCTACTACTTATTACTTAAATTAATTTATTCTTCTTGTTAAATTGCCTCTTTTATACACTATAATAATAATACTACTACTACTGTTCATAATAATTGGTGGCCGAATTAAAAAGTTCTGTACGAACACATCTCCCCTCGCCTCACTTCTCTGCAGGCCTTTGTTCATTTCTTCCGACAAATCCAACGTGTTCATCTGACTGCAAACCCAAGGTATTATGACTCTCTTATATCTTGCCTCCCATTCTTTTGTTTCCTGCTTTCTGTTTCCTCCTTTTTAACGATATTTGTTTGTTGGGTACGATAGTAATTCTCTTGCAATTGCTCGATCCCATTTTCATATCTCGTGTTTTTTTGGTTCCTTGATGACTCCGTTGATGGAGAATACTAGAACTAATTATTTGCATCTGGTAATGGTCTTAGTTTTCTTTGCCAAAACTATACCTCCGTTGTCTGTTTCTTCTTTTCTGGTAAAGGCATCATAATCTGGTGATTTTTTTTTTTTTTTTTTGTGATTATATGTGCTATGAAGTTGGAAGATCTGGGTCATCGATTATCGAATAGGATCATAATACAAGTTGGAGATGAATCTTGCAGTGTTGAATGAAACGATCGAATCACAAGAGGGTAATCTTCCACGAGAGGGTGCTCTGTTATGTTCAAATTCCATGAGGGCTCTAATTTCGTAAATGAGCCTTGCGAAATTTATGATCTGCAAGATTTTGTCTTTCTTGTTCCGTTTTTTCTCTTTTGTTTTTGTTTTTTTGGTTTTTTTTTTTTTTTTGGTGGGGGGGGGGGGGCGGGTCTACAAGTACAGAAATATAAAGGGTAAAGAAAAAAGTTAATGTAACAAAAGCTACCTTCTGAGTCTTAGATGTCAGCTAGTTTCTTCAGCATTATTGTTTGGTTTTCATGGAAAATCGAAATGCAATTTTAACATTTTGTTTCCGCTTCTTCACTGATCAAAACTTTTCGTTTTTTCCTGTTGTTATTGTAATTAGATTATATTCCATTGTTTTCACCATTGTGAAATTGTGCTTGGTATTTCTGATAGAAAACACCTATCCGTTTACTTCAGAAGCTTGGCAGGTACCATTGGTCAAAAATTACTTGGGAATGCAGAAAGATGTGGCTGAATGCGAGTACTTGTCACTCTGATGTCAAAGTGCCTTCCTTTCCATCTTGGGTGGATTTGTTCATTCTTGATGAAGTCGGGCGCATGAATCATGGCATATCAATTTTTTGCGGACAGCTGCAGAATAAAAGCAACACTTGTTGCCTTGCTCTCGTGTTGAAGCACGAGGGAGACGGTTGAATTTCTCAAATAAAACTACTCCTGCCCCGTAAAAACCAAATATTCGTACAAGCAGGAGAGTATAATAGAAGGTGTATAGTAGTTTTCTGATTAGAATGGATAATAAGACAAACATATTAATGCAAAGGTATGACCTTGGAAGATTACTAGGGCAAGGAAACTTTGCAAAAGTTTACTATGGTAGAAATCTTGCAACCGGGCAGAGTGTAGCCATTAAGATAATTGATAAAGAGAAGATTCTGAAGGTTGGACTGATCAATCAGACCAAGCGAGAGATATCTGTCATGGCACTGATTAAACACCCCAATGTGCTACAGCTTTATGAGGTCATGGCAACCAAAACCAAGATTTACTTCGTTTTGGAGTATGCCAAAGGTGGTGAACTTTTTAACAAGGTCGCCAAGGGAAAGCTCAAGGAAGACATTGCCAGAAAGTACTTTCAACAATTGATCACTGCTGTTGACTTTTGCCATAGCAGGGGTGTCTACCACCGTGATCTAAAACCAGAAAATCTGCTGCTGGATGAGAATGGGAATTTAAAGGTGTCAGATTTTGGTTTGAGTGCTCTAGCTGAATCTAGGCGGCAAGACGGGTTGCTTCATACAACCTGTGGAACCCCCGCCTATGTTGCTCCTGAGGTTATTAGCAGAAAAGGTTATGATGGTGCCAAAGCTGATATCTGGTCTTGCGGTGTAATCTTATTTGTTCTACTGGCTGGTTATCTTCCATTCCATGAATCGAATCTTATGGATATGTATAGAAAGATAAGCAAGGCTGAGTACAAATGCCCGAATTGGTTTCCTCCAGAAGCGCGCAGACTGCTATCAAGGATCCTCGACCCAAGTCCATACACTAGGATTTCCATAGCCAAAATTATGGAAAACACTTGGTTCAGGAAAGGGCTGGATCAGAGAGATTTAAGAGCAAGTATAGAGGACAAGGGAAAGAATCCCTTAAATGCTGATATTGCATTTGATCTTAATGAGTGTTGCAGCGGTCCTTCTACCGAGACAAAGCTAGAAGTACCAAAGCCAACTAACTTCAATGCATTTGACATAATCTCCCTTTCAACCGGTTTCGACTTGTCTGGTTTGTTTGTGAGGAATGATCAGAAGGAAGAAGTGCAATTTATATCAAAAAAGTCCGCACCCTCTCTCATATCCAAAATTGAAGAAATTGCTAGACGTCTAAAGCTGAAAGTCATGAAGAATGAAGGAGGGGTGATGAAATTGGAGCAACCGAACGATTGTAGAAATGGGACTGTGTCCATCGATGTTGAAATTTTCGAAATCACTTTGTCCTTTCACTTGGTGGAGGTTAGAAAGTCAAGCGGAGATACATTGGATTATCTGAAGGTGTTGCAACAGAATCTAAAACCGGCTTTGACAGAAATTGTCTGGGCTTGGCAAGGCGAGCAGCAACAATAGCAGTGATGATGACGACGAGAAGCTACTGACTTCATACAATTCACTGTGTGTGAGTTGCCAATTTAGTTGATTTCCGAGTGTGTGTGTTTTGCTGTCTGAATGCGTGTTGCAAATGATTTTCAACTTATATGAACCTTTTGTGACTTTGTTTCCTGGAAATTGTCCCATCGCCGCCATATTCATTTTCTGTAACTCTCCTTTTGTGTGGATTCATTATACGGCATTTCTAATTGAACTGTCTAATTGAATGGACTTTCAACACTGGATTCATTGGCCATAATATGGAAGTAATCGGTGAATGAATTTGCTGTGATCCGAGGTGGCCATATCTAGAAATTAATACTACAGGAAAGTTTTGGGTTAGCTTTCAAGGTTTTCATTTTCTTCTCAATCTGTAGAATTTTGGCGGCCCTGTTTAGAACCCCAGAGGTTCATATTCTCAGGAGTCAGGAGAGGAGACCAACAAAGAAGAAAAGCTCGAGGCATCAATCACTAAAACAACTTAGTACAATTTTGTGCTGTATGGCACCGTCCGTACATTAAACTACGATAAAGGACAAAGCATCAAATTTTATTTCTTTCCTTCTTACGATTGGTTGAAGATGACTAAAAGCCCCAAACAGAATTATTGCCAAATGATGTCCAATTCAATGAAAACCTGTGTTCAATTCTATATTCGGTTGGGAAGAAAGACTGGATTCTACATCAAGTAGCCCCTTACTTCCAACAGTAAAGGTTGCACGTTAATGCAATCATTACCAAAAAATGTATATATATATATTTTCCTTTCCATTTAGTTGGAAGGCGCAGGAAGTAGCCTTTCAGGATAGGGCCGAGGGGCCGAGACTTGTTTTGGGCAGGAACTGTCGCCTAAACGGACGGTTCATGGTTTGAATTGGTCGAAAAAATTGTA